TTGTTTTAGCCGCCTTTTCCACACACCTATCGACCTATTCAGCACAAATTATCAATACCCCAGCATTGGTTGAGCCGTTGAAGAGCGGAAGGCTGGCAGGTGCGAATCATCATAATTCTCTTTCTCATGCACACAGGGTTCTGAAAGTTTAAGCACACTTTGGGTGTTTGGTAGGCTGGAAAAAAAATTAAAATTTACTTTAATATAAATTGAAACAGCACCTTCTTTATCTATTTGTTTTAGATATTGTAAAACTATTTTTAAAATTTTGATTTATATTCAAGCACTTTTCATTTTGAGTCTTGTGTTTTTTTCTTCTCGTTCTTCCAACATGGGAATATCTAAAAACAGAACAGTCGCAGACAAATGGCAAATGGAATGGAACAGTAGAATAGGGACACTCTGGTGGGGGCAAAGACGAAATGGCCTAACAGAACATCAATCAAGCAGTCAAGCCTCATCCGCTTTGAATCTGATCGATGCTTTCATACATTCTCACACTGATAATACACGCAGTTTGCTTAGCTTGAAATTAAGTACTATCCCAAAAGTCTTTGAGAAAATCAGGAGGGGCAGGGGTTGTTTCGAGAAAATCAAAGGTTTGTCATTTGATCCAGAGGATAATTAGGAATTATTTCTTTAAAATAAAATGGAAGGTGGCCGGCTTCTTAATCGCGTGACACGAGGTTATATAGATGACATCCATCCATTTATTTTAAGAATAACAGAGCAGCATGCGACCCTTCAAAGTACATACGTCCTTGTTTTTGGGTATCTTCGAGTATGTTTTTTTTTTTTTACTGTATTTAATAAATTATACTTTGTTTTTATGATGCCATTATACTTTTTCGATCTCGCCCTCCTTGATCCGTCCGCTTTTTTCTTTTTATTATAGTTGCTGTTATTGTTATTATTAGCTCCGGTCCTAATTATATGATCTAGTTGGCTAATTTGAAGAGATTAAAAAAAGAAGTTAAATTAGTTATTTGTAATAAATATATGTTGTCTTTCCTAAAATATCATTACTAATCAACTATATTGACTACAATTATAATTATTAGAAGGACTACCTTGGGAAAAACTATATAAATATGAGAGACAAAGTGGATTGGGGTCTTATATTTAGGACTAAATAAAAATCAAACAGGGTCTTATATTAGGAACTGGAGGTAGTATTATTGATTATTGATTATTGATTATTGACTTCTGGGTTCCGTCCATGTCCCTTGGCAATTAATTAAATTAGTAAGCTACTATGGCCCGGATGATGGATGGATCCATTTCTTTCACCGTTCTTCATCATCTTCCTTGTTTCCACACTGGTTTGGCGTCAATATATATAACATGTTTAGGAGGAGAATTGTTCAAATATTATTTTAACATCCATCCACACTTATTTTCTGGCTTGGCTCTTTTACCATCGATCGCAACCGCCATATCTCACAATTCATTGATCCTGACATTTTTAATTAATGTTACTCCTATCATCCGAAAGTTGATGATTTGTGACATGGGAGTGTTATTAATGTGTATACATCCGAAAGTAGATAAGCCGTAATGTTATATACATACATATATATATATATATATATATATATATCACACCTCAATCTCTATGCAGCACATGCAAGAAAACGTGTCTAGTTAGTAATACTACCTCTGGTCCTTAATATAATACCCTATTTGACTTTTATTTTGGTCCTAAATATAAGACCCCAATTCACTTTGTCTCTCATATTTACTCAATTTTTTTAAAGATAATCCTTCTAATAATTATAGTTCTAGTTAACACACTTGATTAGCAAGGATATTTTAAGAAAGATAACACCTATTTAGGACAAATAACTAACTCAACTTACTTCATTAATCTCTTCAAATTAGTCAACTGGCTCTTATAATAAGGATCGGAGGTAGTATTATTTAGTGTAAAATAATAACATAAAATGGGAAGATTAAAGCATTAATTCAAAATAGATTAAGATAGCGACGAAAGCCGAGAGACGAATGGCGTATACCAGTGCAAGCTAGTTAATAGGAGGGCACCGAAAACAAACTCGAGGGCGAGGCATGCAGCTCTTGTGCGTAACGTGAATATGTATGTGCTTTGTGGTTACGTATGCAGATCAGAACAGACAGGGGGCGTGTGGCGTTTTCTTAGCGGACAAGGTTTTTGGTGCCGTTTATGCCACAAAACTAGAGCCTTGTTTTGCTTGTGATGGCCAGTGCAGAAATCATAATTTAACATAATCGTCCCAGCTAGCTTAAAACGGACAAAAAACCACGAATATATCACAACTTTATATCTTCTATCACAGAGCCTATAAACCGTGCGTGTTAAGGAATTTGATATGGATTTCCGTAGTCCTTACAGGCCTTTCAAATCCGCATATATGAGATTTGTTCACACATATAAATTTCTCTACCTTAGCTTGCAAGTAATAACCCCAGATCGAAGGTCTATTATTCTGTTTCTCTGGTAAGATATATATCAGATCAAGAAATCTGTGAATGATAAAAGATTAAATTAAATAAGATTTTAGTGCGTGGTGGTGGGGCATCTACTTTTGTTGAACTGTAGTTTCCCTGACCATATATATAGAGGGTTTTCACAAAAGAAGAAAAAAAATATACACGTGTAATGTGTTAGAGGAATTAAAGCAAAGCAATATCCACTCCACGAATCAAAGCATACAAAATCTCTGAGACCCATCGTAGCCTTCTGAGCTGATATTATTCGAGAATCAAGTTAGATATACGATGAACAATATAATGTCGGTGCATGCAGATGTTTGAGACTTACATGCGCAGCCAGGATCAACATACAAACTCTATCTCCGTCATTTGAACTGATTCCCAAACACTTAAAGGCATAAATTGAGTCTTGGAAAAAGGGGAGGGGTTGGAGGAAATGTCATCACCAAACAACATGAAATGGGACAAAACTCCTCCACATTTATCTTCAACACTGTAAAATTATTTCAAACAAACTACTACAAACACCCTCTAATCCGCTCGCAAAAAAGGAAGCAATGAATGAATGAACCTTTCATCTTGCTTTCTTGCACCTGTCATTCCTTAGCATATTGACAAAACGATAAAGTTTCTGCCCCTTCACACTCCTGCGGTTGCGTGGAGCTCCCTCTCCCTGTTTCATAAAAATAATAAAATTTTAGCTAGTAAATAAAAATTACCATTATTTTCCTCTGTTGGTTTAAAAAAAAATCGACAAATAGAATAAAAATTCACGAAAATTTTGTCAGCCCCAAAATATCAAATACATTGATATAATTTTTAACACGCTTTATGAAGTGTCGATCGCTAACCATTTTTAATTTGAACAGTGGAGTAATGTTTAGCACTAGCGGTAATGGAACCAGTTTTGGTGCTTATCACTTTGATGGGTATTTTAAGCTCATCAGATCTAGATTGTCCATATTTCATTTGAATGATTTTGATTTGATTTCTTTTTTATTTTTATTTGTTTAAAGTAATTATTTTAGTATATATATAGAATCTAAAATAAAAATAATCTTTTAACTATCATTCTTTTAAAAAATAGATTTTTCTATTTAAACATAATTAATTAAAGATTTTAACTCTGAACCATTTAAATCAAATATAGACAGTCCAGATCTAATTAGTTTAGAGTGCGCGCTGAAACTAGTTCCGGTGATAATAGACTAATAGCTGATTAATGACGAAGTTTTATTATTAGTACAGTAGAGTTAGAGTTATGTATATATATAGTACGTACTAGCTACCTTAACGATGTTACTAAACAAATTTTCACACACACACACACATATTAAAAAATACAGGGCACTGTAGAACTTCCGATCCCCTCGCTTAATAGGTTTACGTACTCAGTATTTGTGTAGCTTTATTCGGTGGTGTGGGGGCGTTGTGCATTTAGTCCTCCTCCAACCGGCGAACCGTCTAACTTCTCATTGGCATTCTATTATTTTGTTCAGGTCAAGGTGGTTGCCATTTAAATTAATTTCATAACACAAGTGCATATCGATAATAGTTAATGCTTTAATTCTATTCTCTCCCAGTTACCCAGTGCAGGTAGATATTTCTTTTTATGACACATGACCTTCCTTAAGTTTCCATATTCCTTTTTTTTTTTTTTGGCCAGCGCGCGTGTTAAGTTTCCATATTCAATGATGTTCTTCAATTAATATTTGTATGCCCACTCCACTTATTTCTTCTCTTCTTTTTTCCCCCACGTATATGGCTATGCGTGGTTCAATGAGCTAGCATTGCTTTGATTTTTTTTGTTTATGAAAAAGAAGAGGATGAAATCACATATTTTAAAATTTGGAAATTAAACAACAAAAGGAGGCATGAAGCGCAAAAGTTGAAACTGTGATTCTCCGTCAGAAGAATCCACGTGAATGGACGTATTCTAACATTAAAAAAGTTGCATGCGTGCATCCTTACACCAGAAATATTGCATGCATCCAATTGTATGATGACTTAATTTGATTCTGCGTCTCACGGTATGGTTAAGAGTGACTGTTCGCTGGTTAATGCGCTCATCGACTCGCACCTAAATCTAGGCACCTCACACACTCACTGAGGTTCAACAAGATGGGTTGAGAATGGGAAACAGTATCACTTCCGGTCAAAGATTAGTTTTAAATCTAAAATGACTTGATAATACTCTAAGTTATTAAAAAAAAAAAAAGTAAGATTGATGGACAAGGCAGGGAGAATATAATTAAATACAAAGCAGCGCTCCTAATTCGAGATCCTTCCAATCTGATGCAGTTTTCATGTGCTTCTCCAGGTCTATGCATGTCATTGATCGCTGTTCCACTTGTAATAATTTCATTAAAAATCAAAATTCAATTTTGCAAGTGTCCTTTTCAAATAGAGGATTTTGACAAAAAATTTAAATTTTATTTTGCTGCACCGATCGAGTGTGTTTAAAACTCAACATGTACACACACGCCGGAACTAGCGTGTGGGTATGCAAATGAACAGCATATCTTTAAATGCTTGACAATCTCGCGAGCTCACGGGTATTTATAGCGGAGACCAGAGAGGCTGCTACGCCATATGTCCACTGTCTATCCTCCAGCAGTTCCAACCAAGTTATCCTTCCCCTTCCCTCTTCTTACCATGACTTCACTTCCTCTTTTAATCCCTTCCTCTTCTCATCCCTTCTGCTCTCCACCGAAGCCGCCGGTGGCCGCTGGCAACTTCTCCATAATAGCATCGGCATTGTAGCCATGCACATGCAGTTACTGCACAACGACCGTGTCGTCATCTTCGACCGCACCGACTTTGGCTTCTCCAATCTATCCTTGCCTCTTGGCAAATGCCGCTACAACCCAAACGAGAAGGCTGTTAAGGTTGACTGCACTGCTCACTCCATCGAATACGACGTCGCCTCCAATACTTTCCGCCCTCTATTCGTCCAGACTGATGTCTGGTGCTCCTCTGGTTCCGTCACCCCCGACGGCCGTCTCGTTCAGACCGGCGGCTTCAACGACGGCGAACGTGCTGTCAGGGAGTTCAGTCCTTGCCCCACCTGTGACTGGCAGGAACAAAATGGCGCACTCGCTGCTCGCAGGTGGTACGCCACTAATCACATTCTGCCGGACGGACGCCAGATTATCGTCGGCGGCAGAAGGGCATTTAGCTACGAATTTTACCCCAAAACACCTGCTGCCAAAAATGCGTATAGTTTACCCTTTCTAGTGCAGACCAACGACCCCGGTGCCGAGAACAACTTGTACCCCTTCGTCTTCTTGAACGTGGACGGCAATTTGTTCATCTTCGCCAACAATCGAGCTATCCTGTTCGATTACAGGAAGAACAGAGTGGTCAAGACATTCCCGCAAATACCGGGAGGAGATCCGAGATGTTATCCGAGCGCCGGATCGGCAGTCTTGTTACCTTTGAGGAATTTGCGAAAGGCGTCGATCGAAGCGGAGGTTTTGATATGTGGCGGAGCCCCGAAAGGCTCCTTTAAGCAGGCGAACCAGAGTAGCAATTTCCTAGGAGCCTTGAATACCTGCGCTCGGATAAAAATAACCGACCCTAACCCGCAGTGGGTCACCGAGAAGATGCCCGGAGCCAGAGTGATGAACGACATGCTCATTCTCCCAAACGGCAACGTTTTGATAATCAATGGGGCAGCCATGGGCACGGCTGGATGGGAATTGGGGCGGAACCCCGTGTTGAACCCGCTTATTTACCGATCGAATAGCCCCCGGGGGTCTCGGTTCGTGTCCCAGAACCCGTCCAATATTCCGCGGGTTTACCACTCAACCGCAGTTTTGCTTCGGGACGGCCGAGTGCTCGTGGGAGGTAGCAATCCCCACACATATTATAATTTCACGAAAGTGTTATTTCCGACGGAGCTGAGGTTAGAGGCGTATTCTCCATGGTATTTGGAGGCAGAGTTTTCCAACGTACGTCCGAAGATTCTATCGCCTGCTTCTCAGACCAAGGTCACGTACGGTGGCAAGTTGGTGGTGAGATTCCAGGTGAGGGCAGCGTTAGCTCAAAATTCAGTGTCGGTGACGATGTTGGCGCCACCTTTTAACACGCACTCTTTCTCTATGAACCAGAGGCTGTTGGTGTTGGACGTTACTAAAGTATCTAACCTTGGAAATTTGACATACGGAGCGGAGGTTGTCACCCCTGCTTCGTCTGTCCTGGCGCCACCCGGTTTCTATCTGCTGTTTGTGGCTCATCAAGAAATTCCCAGCGACGGTATTTGGCTTCAAATACTGTGAAGTATGAACCAATTATTTGTATTAATATGGATACACACATATATATTAAATTTATTTATCTTCCATTTTAGCAAATCCATCTCCACGCCCTGAAAATTGAAATGATTCCTTGGCATGAACTCGCGAAAATTACAGCACACAGGTTTGTGCCTTTGATCACTTTATGGGGATGGGACGCTGAGGGTTTTTCCAATTTCATTTATGAAATTAATTCAAATTCGGGCGCCTTCTAATAATCACCCAACACAAAAATAAGAAGCAACGCACTGTTGCAAGTTACACATTCTTTTTTATTGAGAAAAAAGGCCACCGCTTGGATCTTCAATGGATGAGTTGGAGTGGGTGGATGTGAGGTATGGAATTTAATTTGGGACGGAGGGGTTTTCACTGCAAATGAAGTTCTGCAATTTACAGTGTGAACAAGAAAGCCTCGCTGGCACATGGGAAACGAGGGGACGTCACACTTGGACCTTACATTACAGTATTATCAGGATACGGAATATGTGTGGTTCAAAGTTCAAACATCACGAGCAACAGTAATACGTACTCCTGTGGGCGACATTGAACCAAAAAAAGAAAAAAACAAAAGAAAAGGGGATAGGAGAATGCGCGCGACCACATGGGAAATCTACAAAACGCTCTGCAGACAATAATTGGCTTTCTAAATGATTCATTGCTGTTTGTCTTGTGTCCAAAACACGACTAAGTAAAGGGGTCGTGGCACATTAGTTGCATGCCGATCTTTGTTTTTTTCGCAAGGGTGGGGGCGCAAAAGGGGTGGGGGTGAGGATTGAATTGCATTTTTTATTGTGCTGTGAAATTATGAAGCCAGTTCAATAACTAGCTTAGCGTTGTTGTTTAGAACTCTTGGGGTTAATTCCTCTTCAAGGGGAGGCGATGTTTTGGTCGAATTAAATCATGATTAGGAGGGTATCTCTTGCTTATAAGTTTATACTCAGTGAAGCAGTCACAAATCTCCCCAATACACTCAAGCACCCGAGACCGTTCCCTAATGTAGTCCCGCATCCTCATCGCCCAATTTAATCCATGAGATTCACGTTTTGATTTTAGTATTTTACTATACATACGCATCATCATCACATATAATTTGGCAACTACTTACGTTAATCAACCCGCATACATACATTTAAAAGTGTGTGGATGTGATGATCACATATCATCACACAGCCTGCGAATCAGAGAAAATACAGAGAATCGCCCCTTTTCTGGCATAGCTGAAGAAGCTAGCTACGAATTTGCTCTCCAGAGCTTGGAATATAGTGCAGATCTGATTTTTCACTTTAGAGGGAGATCAATCAAATAGCAAATCGATTAGCAAGATCAGGAGAAGGTATATTCAAGAATTTTTGCAACTGCTTCCTCTCATGGAGAGGAGGAGATTAAACCGTTCTGTGTGTGTTGTTTTTCTTCTCTCTTGAATATACGATGTGCTTTTCCATCACAAATAGTAATATACATGGTATGTTCTTACCTTTTCTAGCTCGATCTGGAAAATAATTAGAGACAGAGGACTTGTACATCACAGGTTCGCACATAACACTGTGTAAACAAGTTGCAGTTTGTCAGTAAGCACAGTGGAGGTTGCTTAATAAAGGGTAATAAATTATTCGAAGGAATACGTACTACGAAGAGGGCAATGGAAGGCCAGCCTGGCCCCCCACAAGCGCCCCGTGTTATGATGTTATCCCGATTCCCGCAGTTCTGTTTGCATACGGGACTCGGAAAGGAATGGAGTAGAATCGTTTAAACTCATCGTGGTTATTAGGCACCTGCTTCAAACTAAATATAAATACTCCTGTAAAATGTCAAATTATATTCATAAATTGCGATCACTACGGCTGAGCTCCCGTCTATTTTTTCTCTCTCTGCACTAGTGGTTTCTATGAAAATGTTTATTTGTCTCTCTGATCTTTATTACAAGTTTCAGTAAAATTTAAACATTGTGAGAGCAACTATATTTTTTTTCCTTCCAATTTTGGAGTAGTTATCTATGAAAATAAATATAATTTTTTTCCCTTTAAGATTGAATCCTTGAATTTGTCGGATGATCACTTTCATATCTTTTTTTTTTTACAATTTTTTGTTTAATAGTTGGTCATTTTCCCCCACCAATATTACAATTCAAAAAAGGCATCATCCCTGTGAAGTTCAAAATAAAACCATTAAGTTGGTTTGTAAAATAATACCCCTCATTCTAACTAAATTACACGGTTTAAAAAAAATTAAAAGTAATAAATATGTAAGAAGCAGACTTTTTTTCTTCCAAGCATATTTTATTTATAAAAAGCAAATAAGAGTGAGAAAAGATGAAAAAAAAATGTAGTATGCTAGCTTGCCAACCTTTTAATTAATGCAATATGTAAAAACACTTTAAATGTTCAGATAACCACAAAGTAGGATTCTTATAAAAAAAATTAATACAATTCAAATTTCAGGCTCTTATAAAAATGACAGAAGGAAGTGTACAATGCCACCAAACGAGATTTAATTATGGCAACATGCATTCATATTTTACCAATCGTGCAGTTATCAATAATCAATAATTAAGATAATATGCATACAAGTTATATTATATTATCGGGAGTTACGTAATACTCCTCCGGTCCTTAATGTAGGATCCAGTTGTTGAGTTGGTTTTGGTCCTAAATATAAGACCCATTTCTCATATTTATCAATTTCTCTAAATTACCCTATGAATACTCTATCAACCATAATCAAGTAGAAGGGGGAAAGAAGGTATTAAGAAAGATGATTATGGTGTTTTAGGAAAAACGTGTCACATTTCTTATAATTAACTAACTTACCTAACTTCCTTAATTTAATCAAATTAGTTAAATGGGTCTTATATTAAGGACCGGATGAGTAATTTTTCATGATCCGTAGATATATTCTGTATTCTTTAGTCTTCCAGTCCCTGTTACGGGGTTTTTTGGAGATGCATGTCGGTGTCTAAGTTGAGCTAATTTCAGGCCAAGCACTACTTTTCTTCGAGTTACAACTACATGAAAATGGCCAGCTTCAAGTTAATTACCTAATTTCCTGGTGACAGCGACATTTTATATCATTTATTACTCTTTTAGTACTTAATATAAGAGCTAATTGTTGAGTTGGTTTTGGTTTTAAACATAAACTCATTTCTTATATTTATTAATTTTTCTCTAAATTATCTCTATGGATACTTCCTCAACCATGATCAAGTAGAAGAGGAAGAAGGGGTATTAAAAAAGATGATTATGGTATCTTAGAAAAAACGTGTCACATTTCTTATAATTAACTAATTTACCTAACTTTCTTAATCTAATTAAATTGATTAAATAGGTCTTATATTAAGAATCGGAAAAGTATATTTTTTGCTCGAAATTAAACAGGTTAAGTCATGTGAATAATGAGTGGGGTCCAAACTCGAAGAAAATTGGCGAGGGATGGACCGATCTACACGAGCAGCAGAGAGAGGGAGAGAGCAGCGCTGGGCGTGGGATGCTTCGTCGTCATTCAGAACGGTGGGCCGCGTGGAGTTCGGTGGACGCGGAAGCCCAAGGGGTTTCGTTTGAGTCAGCATTTGCTAGCCCAGTGTATAAAAAATCTAAAATCTGGTTTCCCGGTCAGATCTGACTTGGCTTTTTAATGAAATTCTGGCTTTCTTCATAATTATATTTGCTGCCAAATTTGGAAGTATAGACGAGAAGAGTAGCGGCGATGAAGATGAAGACAATGGCTTACTCGTCAAATTTTTATTAGAAAACCGAGGTGAAATAGCTAGTGACTTTATTTGTGAGCTGTAAAAACACGTATATATTTAACGAATAATTTAATATTATATCGTGAACCGCACGATTTTTTTCAAGAGAATTCGAAAAGCTTTGTTTTTTCAGCCATCATCTTATATTTCATACTACCGGTATTGACCAGTCCTGTTTTAAGTATTGTTAATTAAGCTTGTTCGATCTCCCAGTATAGTTTTTTTTTAAAAGCTATTTAAGCCTAACTTAATTCATCTATAAAATTTTAAGCCATTTATGTGTACGAGAAAATAATAACAGGTTTAATGATTAATTAATAGCACATATACGCTACGATGAACGAATTTCAAATCACTCTAACCATACAACTACATTTTTTTTTAACAATAAGCAGTTGCAGGAATCAGAGACAAGTATGTTTAAGGATATGGATATTCTCTCTACTTCAATCTAAATTAGATATTCGTAGCATGCAACGAACACCACAGGCAGTTGTTTATTAAAAGCTTTCCGACAATTTATCCTAAGCTCTTGAATCTTGTTGAGTACGTGGAAATGCATTAAATAAACAAAAATCAAGGAGAACCCTTGGAAGAAACAGAACAGGACTACATGTCCCGTGAAATAATGCGTGGGTATTGATGTGAGATCCCCCCCTCCCCCCCCCCCCCCAAAAAAAAAGAAAAAAGAGGCTAAGTTCAGGAGGAGTTTGCATTGTCCACAGATCACAATTTAGATATTGAAACCTAGCTACCGAACAACGTTAGTTAAGTGTTAGCCTAACCAGTATAAACAGTGAACAAGTGTAACTACTTGGAGACCGTAATTTGTGCTTGAAAGTTGAATCCATGATAGATCACTGATTTTGAGACCTAGTTAAATTATTTACGCATTTTTTAAATTTTATTATTTTGAGAAATTCTCACGGATTAATCTGACTTAATAAATATAAGTGTCAAGAAATTGACGAAGGATTACTAAGTCTTGAAATTTAGGGCAACTGCACTACTTGGTGAAAAGTGAAGGAAAAACTGTGGAGATTTCTCATATCCACGTGATTTGCAAATTAAAGCATCCTCATTACTACCGGATCCGTGAGAAATAACGATTGAGAGGCTGCAAGAAAAAATTTTCATGCTCCATTGCTCATTCTGCTTCTTTATGTTTCTTTTTTTTTTTTTTTTTTTTATAATCATAACATGCCAATTATATTTGTCACAAAGAGTTCAAACTTCTCCATACCTGGTTACTATATTTTTAACTGGACTATAAAATCTCAACTATTTTTTCTTCTTCTTCAATCT